TTGGCCCGAGGGCCACATCTGGGTGGGGAAATTGTATGCAGGGCCATGAATGTAGAGCTGGGGCAGGAGGCTGGGGTGCAGGAGGGGTGCGGCAGGGGGCTCAGGGCAGGGGGTTAGGATGCAGGAGGGGGCTCAGGGTAGGGGGTTGGGGTGCAGGGGAGGTGCGGACGGCAGGAGGGGGCTCAGGGCAGGTGGCTGGGGTACAGGAGGGGGTTTGGGCTACGGGCTCCAGCCCAGCACCACTTACCTCTAGCGGCTCCAGGGTGGCAGCGGCGTGCCTGCCTGCCCTGGCCCCACACCGCACCCGGAAGTGGCCAGCATGTCCGGCAGTGATTCCTGGGGGTGGAGTGGGGCAGACGGCTCTGTCGTGCGCTGCCCTTGCCTGTGGGTACCACCCTCAAAGCTCCCATTGGCCGCAGTTCCCCATTCCTGGCCAATGGGACCTTCAGGGGGCAGTGCCTGCAGACGAGGGCAGCGCACAGAGCCCTCTGTCCCTCCTCCCCCAGGGGCCACAGGGACACGGTGCCAGCCGCTTCCGGGAGTGGCACGGGGTCAGGGCAGGCAGGGAGCCTGTCTTAACCCCACTCCACCAAGGGGCTAGCAATCCAACGGGCCAGATTGAAAACCTTGATGGGCCGGATCTGGCTCACGGGCCATAGTTTGCCCTCTCCTGGGTTAAGCGATGCCAAGTAAAGAAAATAAATTTAGAAAGGATTACAAGCAAATAAAACTGAAGATATGCATCTAAAAGTCTAAAACTTAACTAAACCAGAAGCCATCTTTGGCATCCAGCACTAGTCAGACTCAAGTGAATAGAGTTCTTGCAAGGTGAGAAAGATGGGGTCCTTCTTCCCTGCCAAAGCTGTCTTTTCTTCAGTCAAGACCTTCCACAGAAGTACAAGGTGCTGGCTTTCCTTGTCTTCCTAGGCAAAAGATCTTTGCCTAAGCAGTTAGTTCACCCATATTCAGTTTCCAGCAACTTCAATCCCCCCTTGGTTGAAGGACCCATCTTTCTCACCATGCAAGAGCTCTGTTCTCTTGTATCTGTCTAGTAATGGATGCCAAAGATGGCTTCTGTTTTTGCTTATATCTTCCAAATTTCAATTACCTTTATCAAGAGGCAGGATGGCCTCATGCTGTTTCTCCCCTTCCTGTAGGCTTCCCATCAACCTGTATGTAAACTGGGCTTCCAATCATTTTAATTCCACCATGTTTAATTTACATAAGAGACAGGTAAATAGCTGTGAGGTTTCCTCCTGTCTGGGAGAGACATGTTTCTCCCTTTACTTAGGCACAGACTGTAAAGTCTAATATCAATGAGTACCCAATTCCATATATAGTATTAACACACACATTTTACAGCATTAACCACCAACGTGTCATTGGCTTTCATAAAACACCTTACTTGATAAACTTTTATATAATCAGTTGATTCAATTGCTTATCATTTGAGGTTCAGACCCCCATCTTTATAGCCCAAAGTTTCTCTTCTCTGCTGCCTCTGACCCCACTTATTAGGCAAACAAAGCTATAAAGCTAATATGCAAATGGACCTTCATCGTATGTGCCTGACGCTTGGGCTGATCAGAGAAGCAAATACATATTCCTTTGTCTAGAGCAGACCTGTTTACCAACTCCCCTGACATGCCTGGCTTAAGCACGTTAGTCATCATTCCAGCATATATCCATAGCTCTCAATACAGACTGCATACATACATCACGCAAGAATATTAATGATCAGTGAGTTATTAGCTTTCCAAGGACATCTTACATGACACCTTTCAGACACGGATTATAACCACCGTGAATTGGGGTATACTGAATTGAGCAGCCAGCAGAAATTCATTACCTGATACAAATGAGCCCTTTGCCCTCTGGCACTGGGATGCTCTTAGGGTCACACCTCCTCCCTTACACAGTTGCAGGAAGGTTAGCCACTGGGTGACCCAGAGGCAGCAGGTCAGATCCCTTTTTCCTGGACAGAGCATCTGCTACCATATTTTCTTTATCCTTTATATAGAAGAATCTGTTTTGTCACCTTTACAGTCTCCAGGACATAATATCAGAGAGTATTCATAATTCCAGCTACAAAGTTGGTACAAAAATTCACAGTGACATTAATGCCCAGTGTGTTTAGATTTCAAACAATATACTACATCATCTTTTAAATAATATCATGACACCAGTGTGTGAGGTGTAGTGAAGATGTGAATATAAATAGTGACAGAATAGTGAACCACAAATTGGCCTCTTTCTCACACATTCCCCGCAACATGTAGCCCCCCCACCAGCAAGTCCAGGCCCCCCAACCCTTTCCCATCCAATTAGACCACTACTTGACGCTGCAGAAGACCCATTAACATGCAAGAAGTAGCTCCTTATTGTCTCCGGCCCAATGTTGCCGTAGACACATATCACAGGTAGCAGCTTACTGAAAGGCCCCACACTTCGTTGGTTATATATAGGGCCCTACCAATTTCACAGCCATGAAAAACATGTCACGGACCGTGAAATCCAGTCTCCTCCTGTGAAATCTGGTCTTTTGTGTGCTTTTACCCTATACTATACAGTTTTTTATGGGGGAGACCAGCATTTCTCAAATTAGAGATCCTGACCCAAAAGGGAGTTGCGGGGCAGGAGAGTCACAAGATTATTTTAGGGGGGTCATGGTATTGCCACCCTTACTTCTGCACTGCCTTCAGAGCTGGGTGGCTGGAGAGCAGTGACTGTTGGCTGGGTGCCCAGCTCTGAAGGCAGCGCTCTGCCAGCATCAGCGCAGAACTAAGGGTGGCAATACCATACCATGCCACCCTTATTTCTGCATTGCTACTTTCAGAGCTGGGCAGCTGGAGAGGGGCCACTGCTGACTGAGGGCTCACCTCTATAGGCAGCTGCGTAGAAGTAAGGGTGGCGATACTATACCATGCTATCCTTTCTTCTGTGCTGCTGGTGGCTCTGTCTTCAGAGTTGGGCTCCTGGCCAGTATCCACCTCCAGCTGGCCAGCACCACTGCCAACAGCAGCAGCGCAGAAGTAAGGGTAGCAGTACTGCAACGCCCCCCCTACAATACCTTTGCAACACCTACTCCCCAACAACAACTCCTTTTTGGGTCAGGACCCCTACAATTACAACACTGTGAAATTTCAGATTTAAAGAGCTGAAATCATGAAATTTACAATTTTTAAAATTCTATGACCGTGAAATTGACCAAAATGGACTGTGACTTTGGTAGGGCCATAGTTATATAGTCTGAGCTGCACAGAGAGCTGGACCCTCATTCTTACTACTCACCTCCAGCTGAGTGGGGTCACCTATGGGGATGTGGGAAATGGGTGCAGGGTCAGATGGGAGGAGGGGGCTGGTTGAGGGGGTGCAGGGCCAGATGGGGATGAGGGAAAGGGTGCAGAGACATATGGGCATGGGGGGAGTGGGTGTCTGAGTGGGGATGGAGGGACACACGGGGGTACAGGGACACATGGGGCAGATGTGCCTGACTGAATGTGAAAGGCTAGAGGTCAGCCAGAGTCTGCATGGGGGAAGCTCCCTAACAATCCATTCCTGCCCCCCGAAAAACCCTGTTCCATATTTCTCTCACCCATACCCATCAACCCCCCAGGGTCACTCCCAGGCTCCTTCCCTCTCCCTCAGCTCTCTGTTACCCCTGACTCTCCCAAGCTTTTTCACTGCTTCTGAGGGGGGCGGGAAATACGGTTCTGTATTGTAGTTTAAATTAATTATTCAAAGTTCTGTATTTATATGCCTAGTAAGGAATCTATTTGACAAAAAACATTTCCTGAATATTTTTTCATTGTCTGTATTGTTACAGACATACTTGCTGACAGATATTTTGAAATAAATTACCAAAATAATTGAAATATGTGTGATTATACTGTGTTATTTTGGCCAATAAAATATGCAGAATATTGCAGAATTTTAAAATATGTGCAAGTCTTTCATTTTTTGGCACAGAATTCCCACAAGAGTAGCCCCCACGCAGGAGTCTGCCCAAGCCCAAAGCCAGTGGCCAGTGCCTGCTGCCAAGTGGGGTGAACGACCCATCTCACGACACCACCACGCCCCTCCCATGCGGTCTCAGCCCCCCTGAAACTCCCAGGTAGGGCAGTGGTCAGCATAGGGTTGCCAGGTGTCCAGTTTTTGACCGTAATGCCTGGTTGAATAGGTACCTTGGTGGCTCCGGTCAGCACCGTTAATCGGGCTGCTAAAAGTCCAGTCAGCGGTGCAGCAAGGCCAAGGCAGGCTCCCTGCCTGCCCTGGCTCCACACGGCTCCCAGAAGCGACTGCCATATACGGCTCCTAGGTGCATGAGTGGCCAGGGAGGCTCCATAAGCTGCACCCACCCCGAGCCCTGGCTCCACTCTCCCATTGGCCAGGAACCGCAGCCAATGGAAACTGTGGGGGTGGCGTCTGTGGGGGCAGGCAGTGTACAGAGCCCCCCGGCCCCTTTGCCTAGGAACTGGACATGCCGTCCACTTCCGGGAGTTGCCCGAGGTAAGCGCCACCCGGCCGGTGCTCAGAGCCCGAACCCCTGCCCAAGGTCTGAACCCCCTGCTGCACCCCAACCCCCCTCCCAAATTCCAACCCCTGCCCCAGGCTCAGCCCGGAGCCCCCTCCCACACCCCAAACTCCTCATCCCAGAGCCCGCATCCCCCAACCCCAACCCCAGGCTGCAGCACAGTGAGGGTGGGGGAGATCGAGAGAAGGAGGGAGGAGGAAGGAGGGGCGGGGCCTCAGGGCAGGGGGCGGGGCAAGGACGTTGGGTTCGGTATGATTAGAAAGTTGGGGACACAAGACCAGCAGCGCAAGGCCAGTGTCACCACTGCGCAGTTACCGTGGCACAGGGAATGGGGGCTGGAGAGGCGGCCGTGCGGAGACGCAGTTCCCCAGCCCCCGCTCCCCGAGCCCCGTTTCCCTCTGAGCCCCCTCCCAGTCCCGGTGCCTCAGCAAACGGCAGCGCGCACGGGGCAGGGGCTCTCACTCACTTTGACCGGGTCTCCGGCACTGCCTCGAGTTAGGGCCGCTGTTGCCGCGGCTGCCCGTTCTCCCCCCCGCCACTTGGTTTCTTTCTCATCCCCCTCCGCGGCCTGTTACGCTACTTTTGCCGAAAACAAACAACAGCTGCCAAGGAAACAAGGCTCCGCAGAACGCGCATGCGCCTAAAGTGGGGCGAACAGCTCCTTTAGAAGCCGGGCGTGGAGAAGCAGCGTAAATCCGGGACTTCTTCGCAGGCTTCCCACCTCCACGGCAACGGAAACACATGCGCCACTACTGAGTCCCGAAGATGAAACGCGCGTGCGCGCCTTAGAATTAAGGGAGGCCGGTGGGGGAGGAAAGGCGCAGGCGCCAGAGAGTGATGCAGTGCACGCGGGGAGATGCGGTCAACACGTGATGCGCGTGCGCGGCGCATGACGTTGGGGTTTATGATGCCTGCCGCCCAGCCCGGCGCGGCTGTGTTAAGGGTGGCGGTCGTTGGATGATGCAAACGGCGTCTTCTGCACTGGTTTAATGCCCCGGTGCCGACTCCTGGTGGCGTTGGCGATTGGCCGCGCCAGGGCCTGCCCCAAAGCCCAGGGGCTCCGGGCTGGAGAAGGGGAGCCTCACACTCCCGATCCCTCAAGTGACCCCTTCTGGGCAGCCAGGAGACCGCTGGGCACAGGGGAGGGCAGTGCACGCCCCTCTGCCCCAGCCAGGGTGGGACCTAACCCTATGGGGCGGGAGGGGGATGACATGTAGGAAGCATGCAATGAAGTACATTATTATTTAAAACGTTCCCTCGACCTCAACATCTCACTGTTAAAGCAGGGACAATATTTTGCAAAACAGGAACGTCACTTTTCAGAGTAACAGCCGTGTTAGTCTGTATCCGCAAAAAGAAGAACAGGAGTACTTGTGGGACCTTAGAGACTAACAAATTTATTAGAGCATAAGCTTTCGTGGACTACAGCCCACT